GGGGGGGATCAAGTAGTAGAAATTCAGACTTTTGTTGTGTATAAAGTTAGAAAATTGGCGTTTGTCGCTGTAAACTCAGCACAAGGGGTGTCATGACCCTCATGAGCCCCCCTGGATCCGCCCTTGGGTGGAATAAATATCAAACACACAAATACTCCAAAAACTAAATAAAGAAAAATAAATAATATACACAGTAAAACGTGGAAAATTGGAATATCTGGGGCACATCGTGAGAAACGAAACCATATACAAACTACTAAAATGCATCTTAGATCTTACAGGGTCAAGTGTAAGGCAAGAGAAGCGTTGGAAGAAGACGACTATCTTGGCTGAAGAACCTGGTTTGAAACATCCACCACGGGACTATTCAGAGCAGCGACAAATAAAGTTATCATTGCTAGAATGGTTGCTAACATTCGGTAACGGGTAGGCACTAGAAGAACAAGAAGTAAACTACACAGGCACTCGGACTAAAAGATGCTTCTTGAGAATACTTGCTTTTAAACCAAATATTTTGTACAGAAAGAAACGCTTGATTACGTTAATATTCTTTGCTGAACGTCAATCTAATAGCACAGCTTAAATACCATAATATCTGTGGGGCACTTAAATAGACTAGTTTAATACTAGCGCAACAGCGTAATAACAGAAATAGTTCGTAAATAGTAAAAAATACAGCAGCTTGTTTATAATAAAGTAACAATATATAAGGAGAGAACGATAGTTTTTCTAGTGGTGGTCGTAGGTCTTATTTCTGGTTTTTTCTTTTCGTGATGTTTAAAAAAATAAATTATTTGATGTTCAGCTGTTGCTCTAAAATAACATTGTAGGTGTGGCAAAAAGGGGACTGTTGTTTAAGATCTTTCGCTTAAGGCCTTAATGACCAAAAATTTGATACATAAGAGCGTGGTAAATAAATTTGTGTTTTGGCCAGCAAAAGCAAGTATCCCTTGTTAGCAGGAGAATTACTCGTTAGCCAATATGTTTTCCAATAATGTAGGAATCAATAGTATATGATTGGTGATAATATTTATTAATTGCTTGCTCTATCAATGCTGCAATTTTACCTAAGTAAAACCTACGTCTACAGTAACCTTTTCTATAAAAAATTGTCGATTTCCCCGTATTAAAATATTTTCCAATTATATCATTTTTTCGTAGCGTTTCATTTTCTGGTATATCTTCTTAACAGTATTCCAGATTATTAGTGTCTGGTTAATGTCATATGCAATGCATTATGTATGTCGTTTCTAGAAGGCGATATAATATATGTGTAATAAATTGCAATTTGCTGGTTATGCGCTTTCTAAGTTTTATATTTCTTATTCCCACAACGGAAACATTTTGCTAAATAAAGACACTACAAATAGCACTCTTCAATGTGTTACTTTTTATACTTCAGATGTTTTGAGGAAGCTTTATTTTGAGTTGAACAGGCTGAATTTAAGTTTTTGGTAGTATTATCCTTAGGTAGATTATTTGTTGCTTTACTCATCGCTCAGAAAATGTTGAGCAGGATTTGAAACAACTGTTACGGGACACATTTGCATCAAGTTTTTCGAAAATAAATTTTTCAGAAACGAAAAATACTTCACAAGTTTGAAGTTGTTCGTTCAGTAAAGAAGAGTGGCACTCTAAATGTCGTATAAATTAAATCAAATCACATGAATTCCTGAATTTTGCGAGCTCGTATTTAGGAAGCTTCCTAAATGTTGATTGAAAATTGAACGGTTTTACGCAACAGCAGACTCTTTCAAATCAAATTTCCAAAGTAAAGCCAGTAGAAACTTGAAGGATTGACATTCTCTAGAAGACGCTTTGTTTAAATAATATTTTGGCGTAAATTTGCACCCTGCGCTTTCTCGGGATGCCAACGTCTAGGGAGCTCTTTCCTAAGCTGTATGCGTTCAATTTTTTTGCCCTAGGATATTTTTGCATCTTGTCTATGTACCTACTGGCTAAAGGTTCAGTTTAGCTTTAATGCATAAGACCTTTCGCCGTTACGCAACATGCCTTTCCAAACGCCATTTCACCTTTACTATTCCCCAAGCTTCTGAAAATTTGTCATCCTTAAATATGGACTGACGGTCACAAAATGATTTAATATTATTACAATTAAATATAGGAAGCCCAGCAAAATATATTCCTGCTCAAAGGGGATTAAAAAATGTCCACTAATCTCGAAGCTTACAGCCTGAAAGATTTTTTCCGAATGTATATGGATGGTTTAACAGTAATGTGCGAATGGTTAAAACTAAGTTGAAGTAAGCAAATTGTAATTTTGACTCTAGTTTAATGGCAAACCTGCAATTTTACTATAAAGATCATTGATATTTTGTTATTTATTTGATGTGATTGTAGATTCTTCTTACTGTTCGAAACTCGTCTTTGCTCAGGCTCAACCCAAAGGAATTAATTCAAAAAAAGGATGATTCAAAATTGGTTTTATTTCTCTGGAGATGCTGCCTCGAGGAATTTGCCAAATATACAAAAACAAATGACAAACATTTTTACTTGAAAATAGAGGAAACCATAAATTTCAATTTTCAAAATGTTGTTTTTCAATTTAGGTTCCAAAACAGTGTTACAAATATATTCCATATCAAAGCGTAATTCATTACATGAGTTTTCCAACAGATCTTCACTTTATAATCTTACTTTACAACATTAGTTTCTGTTCTATTCCAGAATTTTTGATTCTTACCACCAGCTAGATGTTCAAGAAAAGTTCTCTGGTGAGAAAAGTTAATAGAATGGTACAGCTTTTCGCTTCAACTGTGACTGAAAACGAAGTTGAAGATCCGAACTTTTAACTGGTTTTTCATGTTTGGCTTCGGTGCTTTTTTCTATAAAAATCAACACAAATTTCAGAAATCATCGTTTCAATTGAGATAACTTCCACCTTCTTCGACAACATTTCCTTTTTCAAAAGAATGAACTTTCTTGTAATAAAGAGCAAACCGCATATTCTATACGTCGATCATGAGGAAGATGTGACCGATCGATAGTCTCCCCAAGAAAAGTAAACTTTACGCATGTTTGACATTGTTAATCATTTTAAGTTTTGAAGAGCGCAATCCAAACACTAACCACAAATACGCGCTAAGATTAACATGGTTGTGAACAATTATGCACCTGAATGTGTGATCACCGTCGTGACTTTATAAAAGTTTTATAGTATTCATTTTTCCAATGTTTTATTACAATATTTCTTCACAATTTGCTTTTGTGTCCACCTAGAAAATGCCGCTTGCATTTAGTCACGACAACAAAAATTTCGAATCTACTGTTAAATACGACCAAATAAATCCTTGTTAATAGTCTAGTAAGAGGATGCAAGTGCTTCAAAGTCCAGTAGCTCATCTCAGAAGAAGACTAGATAAGCGTGTGAGAGCAACATTCTTAACTTTTTTCTTATATTTATTCATATTAAAATATCTTATTTTTTGTAACCTTTACTTTAGCTACTGACGTATGTATGTATGTACCATCGCTAGAAGATACTGAACAGTGTTTGCAAAATACATTTTAACTACTGGAAGAATACAAACAGTGGTTCATATTTCATATAAAGAAGAATATAAACAGTGATTCCGATTTGCTCCATACAGTTTATGTAACTATAAAATTCAAACTCCAAAAATGGAGAAACGGAATACAACAAGAAATTTGAGTTAAAGTTTGAAAGTAAGTGTTATAATTAAAACGACAGCTTGGCAATATGTTTTTCTTTAAATAGGTTTTAAATGAGCGGGCATATTGTAAAGGGAGCATCGTATAAAGTTTAGTAAATTTCGTTTAAATATCTCCATGTGATTTTCAAGCCTTTTATCATTATGAATGATTTTTTTTGAGAAAAAATCGGCACTTTAAACATTAATTTTGTCGTATAAAACACCTCCACTGCCTATTTTCAATCGGTTTCAACTGTTCAGGTTCTGACCGGAATGTTATCCGTCTGCATAAAGTACTCAATATGTAGTTTTATTCAGTAGTTTCAAAAACAGTGAAAATTATCTGAGTTAAAGCATTATTATATTTTTGATGCTTGATTTATATTTAAAAAAAACCGTTTGCAGAAATCTATTATAGTAAGTTGTGTGTATTATTTCACGTATTCGTGAAGTACCATCAACCGAACAGACCCGCTCGTAATTCCAGTTGAAATCATCTGGCAAATATTGATAAAATTATCTGTTTCAACAAACTGATTAGAAGATACCTACGCGAATACGAATAAAACTGTATTTAAGAACATTTGATTTATACCGCCAAATCATTTCATCCCAATAACAGTACATAAACAAGCCAGACTGAATTTTTGAAGTACCCTGGTAGTTATGTATTCGATTGTTTAAAAAAATCAGTACACTTTACATTGATAGCAGTGATAATGTTAATAAACCCCATAACCACAGTATTTAAAAGCAGTTATAATTAGTATGTGAAATTATATGCCAGACCAAGCCGAACAAAGCTTATTAGTGGAAATTGTTAAAGTCAACATGATAGTGCAAGATCCAAAAATATGAGTTTAGGATCAAAGAAAGGAAATTCTTCAAATATACGTTAAGTACTCCATAAACAGTCTGTTCAGTGGCATGTTTCAAGATAAATTCAGAAACCAGAGATAAATGTTGATATTTAATTCTTATTATTACTTGTTAGCGATCTTTGTACTTAATTTGCTTTGTGTCGTTTCGGGAAGTGGATGCAGCCATTATTTATTAGTGTCTATTCAGTGCTAAATTTGGCCACTTTTCAACGTTCGCAGTGTTTGCGGTTAGGCATGCCTGTTGTCTAGATTCCCAAGTTAACTGATAACTAATCAAATTGAAGATGAGTAAAGGGGAAGATGTGGAAGATTTTGCTGCAAATGAAACAGATAAATTAAAAGAAAACGTAATATCAATAGATGAAAGCAATGATAAAGAAGCGTTGGTTTTACCATGGAGGGATTCCGTGAAACAAGTAAGGGCCATCGTCAAACCATTAATTATAAAATCGGATTAAATAGCACGCAATTTCTAGATTATTGCTTGTTGCATAGCACATACTTTGGTCATACAACCCGGAATTAACATGGCCTTTAGTGCAGTCTTGTTACCTCAGCTTCAAGAGTCGGGAAGTAACATTGAAATTGATAAATCGCAAGCATCATGGATAGGTGTGTATTGAATTTTAAATAAAACTACAACTAAAATAATGATCATCAAGGAAAATTGCGGAATTATTTATACAGGGTCATTATCAGGTTATTGCAGTCATTACTATTTGAAATGCTTTCAAAGACGTACAATTGTTGTTATGGTCTCAAAAATCCGCATGGCTGATGTGAAAGAAAACATCCTGTATTATTTAAGGGTGGCGTTAATTGTGTCTGCTGCTAATTCTGCAAACTGTTTTTCCACTGCTTCAAACAATTGGTATTAAACCTATAATTGTTGTAAATTCAATATCCTGTTCACAATCTTGGTAAATTAAAGCTGACATGCATTTAATAATCGCAGCACATTTCTAATATTTAGAATTACTTCAGAAACGGAAAACTGCAAGGTTGCCTTAACGAAAATGTATGACCACTGTGTATACAGGGTGTTGGGTTAAACGATGTTGGAAAACTCATGTGTTTGGAATTACCGCTACTGTTCAGCATACTTTTCAAGATGCAAAGTTCTATTTGTACTTACAAATAACAGCAACTCTGATGTAAAATCAAACACCCCACCCCGTATATAATTATTTTTGGGTCGTAGCAAATTCCGCCGCTTCAACAGAAGCAACAATATTAAAAATTTTAAAATCCAAAATTCTGTTAATCTTAGAAAGTTAACGCTGATGTACCTTTGATTCTTCACGTACATTTAGAACATTTAGAATAACTATCTAAATGCAAAACTAGATATTGATTTTAGACTGTCGCTACTGTTTAATATCAGTTTTAATGTTTAATCTTTGTGTTCACAAATAACAACGGTTTTGATGTCAAATAAAATATATTTAGTTTCGGATCGCACTAGATCCTGCGAATTTCCTCTTATTTTGTTTTCTTCTTTGATTGCCCGGAATACGACTTTAATTAAATTTAAGCCGCATGAAACTTTCCAAGACTGTAACATTTTCGTATTTTGATTGCACCGAATATTTCCGAATTTCCATACAGCACAGAATGTTAGATATCGGTGGTTCAAAAAGTTTAAACAGCATAAATTCATCGCAAGTTGACACTTTAGGCCCCCAAAAGGTCTAATCCGTCTCTGCGAATAATGCCAATATTTCCAAAATTAATTACTTTGGTGCAGATTAGCATTGGAAAATTAAAGTTGGTTCAATAAAATGGTTGAATTATATTCCTAAAAAAATATATTCCTAAACTTTCGAGATTCGAGGTAACTAAATTAATACTTTTGCCAAAATGACATTAACAAAAATTTGTAATTTAATTTAATAGCTTTAGTTTACATAAACTGTCGATAATGAGAAAATACATAAAAATTACGCAATGCACTAAAAGATTTAATGACATGTTTCTTCTGGCTCGTGTTGCTTACATTTTTTTCTCAACAGATCTAATTTACTAACGTTTTTAACGTCTTAAAGTTTCACCATTAATAAATTACATTTTCCAATTATATGAATACTTTAAATCCACAGTTGTTTTAAATCGTCACCTTACAATTTTCGAAGAAGAAATTTGAACTATTTGAGGTACAAATACAAGGGTTCTTTCATACATAATCCTCAAACAGTTTCTTAAACATTTTCAATAAGTTCGGCTGGACGCCTTTGGACAATCATACTAATATACGAAAATACATTGGGAACATTTTTCTTTGTTGAATCAGCTGGTTTCGGTCCTCTAGTTTCTTCGATTATATAAATTATCATCCATATGTTTCAAACTGTTTTTCAATAGAGCAATTTTATTTTTATTCACTACCGGTAAATCAAGAAACATCTAGCAAATTCTCAATTTGACCTGTTCATACTGTTTATATAGAATACATAATTTCTTTTATAAGAACTTCGTTTTTTCAATTGTTTATTGGTCTACATATTACAATGAAAATATCAGATGACTTTCAAATAGATATGTTTTCTTAACTGCGACGTCTTATAGTGTATTAAGCAGATTCATGCTTAGTTAGTCTTACATACATTTAAATATTACCAAATTTGGTGGATACAGGATCAACATTTGGAAATTACAAATATTTTTTCAACCTACACTAAAAATCAAGTAAATCTTTTGGTTGATGGAGAAATATTGTTTTAATCAGCTAATCCAACTTGAAATTGGAATTCAATATTGATTTGTTGCTGGTCTGTGTGCAACAGTAAATTTCGATGATACCATGATAGAAAACACGAACATAAACTGAAAAAAAACTAGAAAAAATCTTATCTGACGTTGGCGTTTTGTAAGAAAATATAATTAAAATTTTTAATTAATGATATATTGTAGTAAAAATGAGAAAATATACTTGTTTTTGCTAACAAAGTTAGCAAATACAGAAATTAACAATGTGTTTAAAGTAGCACGCTCAAACTCTCTTCTGGCAAATAGGAAAATTGCTTTTCATCCAAAGTTTTCTTGCAATTATTACGGAAATTGTAAAGAAAGTGATATTTAATAGACTTGTACCGGTCATGGGTGTGCCTGAGATCAACACGTGTGGAACTCTGCACTTGCTTACATCAATGAAAGAAAACGTTTGAAAAGACGAACTGTATACAGCGAACTGTAAACAAGTATTTGTTAACATTTATATCGCATTACTTAACACTATTGTTTCAAAACAATAAATTGAAAAGATTTCATAGAAAAATTCTAACAAATACTTTTTATAGATTTATTGAATTGCAAGTATTCGAAGGCCAAGAATAGAATTTAATGCGTCTTATACATTGCTACCCTATTTATCTTAACGATTATTGACTTTACGTTAAAATACGATTTAAACGTTAACTAATAGCAGTCATTGTTGTTCAAAAATTGTATCATTGTATTAAGAAAGCTTTTTTTAACATCTGACGCCTTTTTTACATCTGATATTGATAGTCAATACTTTTTTTTTATTAGTAATACATTTTGGATGTTTACCGACAGTTAGCAACATATTTATTAATTTTTAATGGGATGATAAACAGTGCAGCAGATGAAACTGTTTATCACGTAAACTATTATGTAACCACTATTTGACTTACAATCAATGTTGTGTGAGCTGGCTATAAATCGATCAAAATTCATCTAAACTTAAGGCAACCGATGATTGGCAGTTTAAACAAAAAGAAAATTCTTGGAAACTCAAAATCGTTCGAAATATATGTTGACTTATGTGTAGCAGACTGCAGATTTAAAAGATAGTACAATCAAAAATAGATATAATATACAGGATGTTTTTGGCATAAAACAATGTTGTTAGGATGAAAGTATTTTAGATTATTTGGAGAAAATGTATACTTATTTCTATATACTCTAGCTACACGCCAATACGTTTTGTTTGCTCATAATAATATCATGGTAAAAAGCCAACTAAAAACAATATGAGGAATGTACATAAAGAACATCCCAATAATCTAAACAGCTAAATCTGAATATTAATAACAGAAACACAATAATTATATGTGTGATGGTGTTCTATGTTCAAACTAAAGTACTTTTCTGTTAATTCTCATTTGAATTCACATTATGTTTGTAAACATTATAAATAAAAAAAATAAAATAAAAAAGTGGGTCAATGAGTAGGCAGAAAATATTGATAGAAAAAGGTTTAATCGTAATGGGTTTATATTAACGAAAATATAAATAATGTTAAAAGAAATTTTTAAAAATGTGTATTATCAATTATCTTGACTAGTATTAGATTTGTTGCATTCGCTTAATACTTAAGTGAAGTCATTTAACAGCAATTACAATATAAAATATATAAACATAAGTCCTAACTGCTAAAATAAATTAAAAACCTTTATATTTTGCCTCGTTCAATGAACGGTTGTTTCAGCTAGCATAGTGGCAATTGCTCTACCAATTGGATCTTTAAGTATAGGTCCTATGATGGATCGATTTGGCAGGAAGAAAATGTGTATCTTGGCTACTCTTCCGTTTTTAGTATCATGGGCTTTACACGCATTTGCTACCGATGTTTGGTGCATTTATATCGCCAGGATAATTGCAGGATTTAGTGGAGGTAAAGGGAATCTTTTAAGTTTATTTTTATAATATAAGTTTATATTTAGTGTCTAAAAGTCAGTAAATTGTTAAAATGTGATTAAAACAAATTGATAAAATTTAAAAACTAGACTGTCAGACTAGAATGTGATCGATCATACATTTAATCATAGTAGTAAACAGAAGTCTGGGGGCAATCGATTTATAAGATACAGTTGAAAAGTGTTCTGGTATAAATAGGACAAAAATTCTTTACAAATATTTTGATTATAAATATTCAAATCTTTAGCAATCTTCCTCATGTTCAGTGCAGAATATCTTTGCACCATCCAATAATTTTTTAAACTCTTCTGATTTTATCAAACTATTTAACGCATTTGAATTTTTAACTAAAACCTGCTTACCATGGAAATTAACTCAAGAGCCCTTCGTCTTTTATAGAAGAATTTCAAATAAGCACTCTTTCTTGCAAAACTGTATTTTCAATACAAAAATTAATTTTCTTTTATATTGAATAACTTATAAACAAAAATTAAGGAAAAGAAAGTTAAGCATATTTTTCAACAACACTTTTCAATTATTTCCAAAAATTAGAAACACATGGTTCACAGCGTTTTTTAATTACAGTTCCATCAAATTTCACTATCCTCTCACTTTTAGTTACTATGAGCAAAACTAAAATCATCTTTGCATTGCGATATCATCAATTTTATATTTTTAAATTGAGTTTTTCAACACTTCTTTGCATCGGTACCTATTTACGCTGAAATAAATACTAATTTTGTTTCGACAGTTATATAATATAGTATATTTTAGTATTTTTAAAGACTTCACAGAAGTTTGTTAACAAAGACCTCCAGGCAAAGTTTTTATAATACTAGTAAGTAACTCGTTTAATTCAATATTTAATAGAATTACAGTAATAATTTGATTGATTAAATGTTAATATGGACCTAAAACTGAAGAAATGTCAGTTTTTAAGAGTTTTCCAAATAAATCATTATAAGCTTTTGCTTTTTCAGTTCGAAGAAATATTGTTGTAAAAAGACCCAGAAATATTTATTAGAGTTTTGCCCTTAAAAAAAGTTTTCCAAAGCGGTTAAGGAGGCTAGTCTGCATGTATTTTATAATTTTTCACAGAAAATACCTGAAGATGAAGAATGATCTGAAAATTTAAAAGAACTTTAAAAATCTTCAGAGCGGTTAGGGAGGCGAATTTCCATTTTGTTTGTAAACTTTTGCTCTCTAGTCGTTTTTCAACATACTCTCAATTACTTTCGGTAAAAATCTGAATAAAATTATTTGGTGTTTGTGCCAAATTTGCAGCTGAAAAGGGTTTCCTAAAGTTGTAGGGAACTTTGGGAACCGATGAAGGAGGCGAATTTTCTGGCAAAATTAATTTTGTAATTTTTGGCTGAAAAGACCCCATTACTGACAGAAGAGAGGAAAATCACCAGAAAATAATGGTTATTTGAGTCTTCGGTTAAAAAGTTTTAGTTTTGTGATCGGTTTTGGAGGAAACCCTAATGGTTTTCGAGAAGAAACGGGAGGAATTTATTTTCGATTTTGTCCCGAATTCGACGCTGAAAAAAGGTTTTGTGAAATTTTCACAAAGCTCTAAATTTATCTTGTAATTTTTAGCGCAAAAAACCTCCAGATCGTCAGTATTTTAATTGAAACAAAATAGAGCGTTTTTCAGTCAAAACTAAAATACCAAATTTTTTTAACAAACTCTACGGTCTTCAGAGGAATGAAGGTGACAAGATTTCCAAATAATATGTTATAAGCTTTCGCTGATTCTGTTCGTTTTTTGATAGAAAATTATTTGATTTTTACCAAATTTGAAGCTGGATAGGGACTTCAAAACTTTTTACAAAGCGACGAAGGATTCGAAATTTATTTCATAATTTTTCACGGAAAATACCTTAAGGTTGAGAGCATTTTTAAGTAAATTTAATTAACTAAAAAATATAAATAATAAATTACCATTAAAATAAATCTAAAAACAAGTAAAAAAATCATCAACATTATCCCCGCAACGGAACTGAATTACTGCACCGGTGCATTGGGTTGGCGCACCAAGCCATTTCCGCAGCACTGCGCCAACTCCTAAAAATTAACTGAGTTACCCAGGCCTACTGTGAAATAAGGCAAAACATAAGTTGCTTAATACACTTAAATCTGTTGAAAACAAATTCAGTCGAAAACAAAGCTAGGTTTCAATTAGCGATAAAAATACACAAAATGCACTGACGATATTTATAATGCTCATTTTGTTAAATAGTTTTATGGCTCGTTCAAGAAATTGCAAAAAATAGGTACAAACTTTTCAACAATTTCATACTTACAAACGTTTTCCACTTTTCAATTTTGGAAATTTTCTGTTGAACACTCATTTTTCCCACTAGTTGTTCACTATTAGCAGATTTTGACTTCAATTCCAGAAGATGTACAGACTTACATTCAATAAATTTCAATTTCACATCTTGAATGCTTGTTCCTTTTAATATAATATACATATAAACCGTAAACCCTTTTATTATTGTTGGTATAAAGACTTTTTTAGAAAGATCAGTTTTAATCTTCTGCTGAGGATGGTACAGTTTTTGATAAAGTACTAACTTGTACATACTTTCCTGACTGTGGTTCAATTCCAAATCAAAATTAATTTCTGAGTTTTAGTCATTTATTGTCTCTATTTATCAATTAAAATACGTTTCGGTGTATTTTTCCACCATCATCAGTTTTTATGTGTGGCGTTGTTTTATGTGTGCCTTGGCATACATTTTTCGATGTAAGCCAACAAATTTATGCCAAGGCTTAAAGCAGCAACAACGCTACACATAAAAACTGATGATGGTGGAAAAATACACCGAAACGTATTTTAATTGATAAATAGAGACAATAAATGACTGAATCCCAGGAATTAATTTTGATTTGGAATAAAGTACTAACACCAATTATTTTATTTTTATTATATTTTTTCACGTATAATGATAATCTTGTTCTGAAAGGCTACGTTTCATCAAAAAATTTTAGAACAATTTTGAAGGGATCTTTGGTTCACTTTTGATAATATGAATTACGCTTGTAATTAGTTGCGTGTTTTGTTATTTGATCTTGAACTTTAAACTTGGTAAAGGAAACAGTTTAGGAATACTCATAGTAGAATAAAATAGACATAAGACAAACATGAGCTTACAGGACTTCTTAGTTCTTCTGGTAAGTTTTCTTCTCTTTACTTTTATCTATTTGGTATTCAGAGACAGCTTTCGGCTTTTGTTTTTTTTGCCATGAAGCTCCAAATATCAGAAGTATTGATTTGGATTGTTTTTTATTCAATTTCAGAGGTTCCTGTGCTTCCAGATACATAAAAACATCAAAAGTCTAGAATAACCATTTAAAATCAAACTACTTTTAGGGCAATTAAAACTCATATCTAACCATGCATTTCTTGTTTTAGGCTTAACAACAGTGGCTCTAGTTTATGTGAGTGAAATCGCCCATCCAAAGTACCGGCCAATGCTGCTCTCCTTGAATAGTGTTTTTGTTACATTTGGAATATTGCTCACATGCGTTTTAGGTGACACAATTTTCAAGTAAAATTGAATAAAATCTTTACTTTTGATACGGTTTTAGGCTTCTGGTTCGACTGGCGTCTTATGTCCAAGATCTTCTTTTGTTTGGTATTATTTACCACTTTTGCACTTTTTTGGATACCTGAAAGCCCGTATTGGCTAGTAGTTTTTAAAAATGATACTCTCGGGAGCGCTCGCTCATTGAAATGGATATACAGTAATAATCTGGTAAGATATTCTGCTGACAATTGGTAAAATATTGTCATTAATTTCCGTTTCAGATTGCTGAAAATGCATACAAAAGGGTATTAGAAAGCAGACATCAAATAACAGGAAAGACAAAAGATGAAACGTCCGAAAAATCTCAACTGCTTCGGATCAAAAAGAATTTTAATATTTACAAGGAGCCGATTGTTTGGAAGCCGCTTTTAATTCTGTTGATTATATTTCTCTTTCAACAACTCTCAGGTGCTTACGTTATTGTTTTTTATGCGGTAGAAGTTTTCCGTGGAATTTCTAATAGCACAATGGATGGATTTGGTGCTTTAGTTTTGTTGGGCACTATAAGATTTGTTACTTCAATAATCTCTTCGCTCATATCCAGAAAAGTTGGACGGCGGAAATTGATGTTTTTTTCTGCCTTTGGGATGATTGTAACTAGTTTTGGATGTGGTTTTAATATGTACTTTTCCCAAAACTTTCAAAGTAATTCAATTCTCAAAAGTGATTCATCGGTATTGTCTAGGAATGTTGGTCTTAATTTGTCGTCTTTACCTCCAGAGCTATTAGTTCCTGTTAATACAACCACATCTAGTTCAGATGCAGATTTACATACACTATCCCCATTTCCATTACATCTTTTAGGTTTAAATGTTACCGCAAATTATCCAGAAGCTTCGAAACTGACTGAAAGTACAAACAAAATGTCCCTATTCTTAGTGCTGGGTTATGTGTGTTTTAGTTCATTTGGCTACCTAGTGATACCATGGACTTTAATCGGTGAACTGTTACCAGTTAAAGTTAGAGGCAAACTTGGAGGCGTCATAGTATCGGTGGCCTACATTCTTATGTTTGGAGTTGTTAAAATATTTCCATTCCTAATGGAATCGGTGACAATGGACCATTTGTTTATAATTTTAGGACTAATCAACACTTTAGGTTTGGTATTTTTGTACATTTGGTTGCCGGAAACACTAGGAAAAACTTTTGAGGAAATTTCGGAGAAATTTGAACACCAGAAAAGTACACGAGCTTCCTAGCATTTTTTTACTAAACTATGTTGTTAATAGTAAATATTTTATATATATTGTAAATGTGATATAAAATTGCCTGTTTCTTCTATTGTTCCAGTTCGGTTATACTGCTAATTGGGGATAATTTCAAATATCTGCGCATCTCAGAAGTGAATTGTGAGACCCTTATACGAACTTCCCGAAATAAGCTCAATCCTAACAAAGTATTTCAATATTTCTAAAACATTTTGCTTATTTTTAAAATTGGCAATATTAAGTGCGATGTTATACGTTAAGCAAATGCAAGCGTGTTATTTTGAGAGATTTTTATATTTTGAACATTTAGGCTTCCCCCTTAAATCTGCCTACGAAATAATTCAAGTTAAGGAATTTCATTTTATCATTTAAAAAAACTTAATATATCGTACGCATTTAAAAATAGAGTTTCTCTTATTTTAGCTTATGAAATGTTAACAGCGACAATTTATTGCTTGCTAGCTTGTGCAAATAAGCTAAATTCTCAATTTAATTGCATAATACGGATTCACATTATAAATATTTTCTTAAATAAATTTCTTAATGCGTCTATGTAAATCTAATCAAATTGGTTATTTTAATTTGAGTAATATTTATTTAAATTACAACGAGCAACATTGATTTGGCATGACGATTCATGCTCAAAATACGAAATATTTTTAAACTGAAAAAACATAATTTTGCAAAATCTTAAGTTGAACTGAAAAGTTTGCAGTGATTTTATGATGTTTTGCATTCAGAAGAGCGTATATTAATATATCGTTCTCATTTTTGAAATTTTGGACTGTTCTGACAGAATTTAATGAGCCTCAGACTCAGACTAGGTTCTGGAGATACTGTAGCAAAAATATTCAAATTACTATTCAGGTAAGTTACGAGAAATAAAAAAAATATATTTTCTCTTTTCACAATTAGAACAAGACTTTTCTTCAAGCTACCCTATCAGCAATGTTCTGATAATTATTCGATTTAAAAGAGTGCTTTCGAAACACTTGAAGAAAAAGTTTATAAAGATAAAAGAAACGAAACAAAGACTATCCAGTCCGCATCGTAAAGGTTCTGATGATTGTTATTTCGCCAGCTATTTTGAACCATTTCTCAGATGGTTCATCTGAAACATATTATTTGCCTAATAGCGAATCAGATGTTTTTAGCTGGTTTTGAGAAATAATAGTTTTAGATTTCATCTGCTTGATTTAACGCTAATACCAATGTCCACTTGAATTTTTCGGGTAAAAAAATATATTACTAGAAATCCGATATATATAATTATAGGCGACACTCCAGATATTTTTGATTAGAAGATGGTTCTCAGTTCGCTAAATCGGAATGGTCGTACCCTCTAACCAGCTATTTCCTACTCTTTCCAGTATATCCCTTTATAAAAATTTTGAAGTACCCTTAAGGGTCTAGAGCTTTCCGTATTAAGAACACGTTTGCCTAAAGATGTCTCCTGAAACTTTAACCTTATTCCCATTTTCCAAACGTCGAATTATCATCAAATGTTCAAACTTGGCGATCCTTGTAATGCAAAACTCTGCTCCGATTTGAATATTCAGCAATCACCAAGATGGTTTAGGTGAAACCTTAAGTAGTTATTTCAATTTTCAGTTTGCTGTATAAGCAAATACACAAGCTCAAAAATTTAGAATTTCTGCACTAAATCTTTAATATTATTATTAGATTTTATTTTTATTATAGTTTTAATGATTATTTTCTGACTGTTTTTAGTGACCAGCTAGCATTTTATCATTTCTTCAATATCAAGTTACTGTAATCATTTAGCAATCGGGACTGTACATGTTTACTAAAAAATGTTTCCTAATATTTATTAAGCACTTTATATTTTATTTACCTGAATTATTTTTGCGCTTCTAAATTCCTTTTCATATTTCATTTTTCATTTCCCAAAATCCAGATTTTTTTCCTGGTAGGAAGAAATTGTCAGGTACGAATAAACTTAACAAAAAGATTAACTTCAGTACAGTTTTAATACGCCTGAATTAAATCAAAAGTCAATTCAAGTTTTGGGTTTAAAAAATAATCGTTACATTACTCAGACTTACGGGGTGATTTTTTCTTCCCCTTTAGATGTAACATAAAATTTTATTTATTATAGAATGTTACATTTTTAAGCATAAACATTTAATTAATAAGTGTAAAGATAATACTAGAATAGTAAACCTAATAAATAAATATTTATTTAGTATAAAGTGGATTTTGCTTACTACTATCCCATCCTTACGCAGCTGCAAATTCAAATGTATTTTAAATTACACATCACCATATCTCAACGTAAGATGATGTCATTGTGAGTAATAGTTTTTTATATTTTTATGTGTCGATTTTACCCACCAAACTAACCATTATTGAAAAATCTCTGCGGAAGCACTAAGCACACGTTACCCTGTCAATCCAAAGCTACAAGACGTAGATACAATATTTTTGCACGGAAAACTTATTTAAAAACAGAAAACACTTTAAAGATATTTCTAGAATACGTTTGCTCAATTTTTCAGAAGAAAGATCCAGACAAAAATCGCGTTTCTACACAATCAAACCCGATTAAACGCCCAAATAATGCAGATATTTCTTTGTCATTTTATCTCAACAAGTGGTCCGTTCACAGTCCACTTTTCACAAAACTTGAATTTATTTTTCTTTTAGGACCGTCCTAACGATCTTTGCAAAAGTTTGTATTTCTCTTGGCATAAAATTTAAATGATTTAGATAAATTATTGAAATGGTTTAGACCATTGTGTGTGCGCGCACCATGTGCCTTGCACAAGGAATATAAAAGGGAGAATTCAAGCTAGTTGATTCATATTTGTACACATATTCACTCTTTCATTGATATTCTTTTAATTTTTAATAAAAAAATTGTATTTTGAACAAAACATAATTGGAATTCTCAGGGTAGATTGAAATAAAAAACCATAAAAAAATAGCGCACGGGCTTAGTTGAAAAAAATTACTTAACAGTCAAAAATTTTCTTCCATAAGGTTTATTCGGGATATTGAATATTTTGTAGTTTCCGTAGTAAGACATAACTTTTGAATAACTTTTTATTTCACTACCTGCCGAAATTGTGGAAATAATGCCTGTGATAAAAATACATTTTGTAAACTCTCACGCATCCTGTGCACCAGTATCCTTATAAAAATGCCTTTAGAAGAAGTAAAAGTAATGAAAGAATAATTGTTATATGAAGTGGGGTAAATAATATATATGAATAATTTAATAACACAGCACTATAACAGCGACAATAAAATTCCGCTATTTTTCTTACATGGTGAATTTTAAATATCTCAATAATAATTTTAAATATCTTTAAGCAAATGTTTCGTTATAGATTTATTTTAAATAACTCTTGCAGGATTTTTTTTACCTTTTTATGGTTCATCAGTAAACCGATCGAAACATCATTTTCTAATTTATTACTATTAAACAGAAAAACCAAACAAATATGTTAAGTATAACTAAAGTGTCAATAATGTATTTAATTGTTACAGATGTGAGTTTTTTCCGAGAAACATACATCACTATTGATAAATTTAACTACTAAACTACTATTTTTTGGTAAATCAAAAACTTACCCTTCAGTCATTTTAGTGAACAGCGCTAAACACAGAACAGATCTAAAAACGCCAACAAAAACAAAAAACGCAATGTCAATTTTTCCCGAAGCTTACTGACGAAGCAACAAGCAGGAAATTTGAAAGCGTTTTTTGGACATAATCCAAAGTGTTCACGTCATTATGATTGTTTTGGGATTTGTGATTTGTTGGCGACCACGTTTTGCTTTCAAAGCCAAAATCCCGGGGCAATAACTTGTACTTTCATCATAATTTTGATTATGTTTTGCTAATTTTTTTTTCAAGTAGGTATTAGTATGAATCAAGCTATAATAATAATTTCGATAAAATCCAGTCCAAAGCACAAACTTATAAAAAATTGAAACAATCATGCTCTATCCAGTCATTACATTAGACTTACCTATGTCAAGCTTTCTTGCATATGTTCTATTTAATTTGTTTATTTTGGCACGTTCTAATATTGACGAAATGTACAGTCTCGTCACAGTAACACTTCAGGAATTTCATTGTTGAAATAAGTGCTTACACTCAACGGCGCCCTACGCTTATATAAACCTGAATACATTGTCAAAAGTTTATATGATAGAGAAAAATAATTTGTAATGAATCTAATTTTACAAAAAGAAAACAATGTATGAAAGACGTTTTTTATTTCAGTAATTATCCAAAATTCGTTTATTGGCAAATGTTTTAATCAAATTGAAAATCTCATTTCAAACAATTTTATCAATTTTAATCCATTTATTCGGGGAATTTGAGACAGAATTAAACGAGTAGATAACAAATTCAATAGTAGAACTATCGTCAAAACATCAAATATAATTAGAAGCTAAATTTTTAAAGCCAAATCCTCAAGACAAACCTTTGAATATTTGCCATTAAATAAAGGAATTAAAAAGCACTAATCATACATAAAAAACAAATAATTTTATAAATCACATATTTTCCTACATGCATTTGATAATTTCTACCAAATTCAATGCGATGTTGCGATGATTTTAACAAAGGATCTACCAACCAAAAAAAAGTAAAATTAAAGATATTCCATCAATTTTACTTAATCAAGATAATTGATCAACCTTTTGGATAGCACTAGAATTACTGCACTGTAACAAAAAAGTTTATTTAGGCGCCAGAAGCACAGTCAGCAGGACAATTAGACGCTATGAAGAGATTGGTGAATAGCAGAACTCGAAGTGGTCTTCTTCGTGCTACCAGAGATTGGTGGAGTCCACTAATCTCTGGTGCTACCATGTACATACGTGAAGATTGAGAAGATGTGGCTCCTATAGAGAAATGTGCAAATATCCCTCAGAAAATAATGATTAATTTGATTATTGGAATGAGCAGACATGTGAATGCGTTGTTAAGAAGTAGAGGCTTAAATACTGAACAATAATTATGCTGTTAAATTTTTCATTTTCGGTTGTTCGTCACATATATAATTTTTCAATCAATACGTGGATTTTTCAAATTTTTCCGTCTGAATTGTAATTTATTTTTATATTTGATAATTCGTTGAAATTAAGTCAATTTTGCCGAATTTTGAAAGCTTTTCATCTGGATTTTACACCGACTTTTCCAAAATTTAATGTTAAATTAAAAGTTAATTTAATTTATGAGGCCAGAAAGCTAGAATGATTATTAACCTTCTTTTTATAGCCAAACCAAACTAAACTCGTCAACCAAACATTCTAAATATTCACTATGCTATTTTTTCCGTTCCGAAGAAACACACTGTTTTTCGGAAGTATGCTAATTTTAGACAATTTTAAGCACAAAAAGTTTTTCCGAAATAAATTTTGGGCAGAATCAAATGCCTTAAACGGACCAATTCTACTGTATTTAATGATAAGTTTCTCGAGTCACTTGATTTTTTAAAATACCTATGAAAGCAGGTATGTGTGTTTCTCAAAATTTTTATGAAACGTAATTATGACATCATGAAAACATTAGTCCATTAGAGATTCCAAAGAAATTGGAAACCAGGACTGTCTGAACCTGGAACAAATGGCAAATACAAAATTTTCATTTAAAATTTATTTTTTTAACGAAGCACAAGAGAGGCTTTTATAAATTCTGCCAAATCGAGATACACGTGTTCTATTTCTAACGCACGAATGTGTTAGAATTCGCCTACGTGTTATGATTGATCTGGAAGGAGCTGCAATGGAACAAGTTCCAAATCGTCAAAAAAATCCGCATTTTTAAGATTTGCAAACTGGCCACTATAAAGGTACTTGCAAACTATAAAATTGTGGCGCCCAAAAGCAAACACTGGAATAATTTGTTTCAATATTAATGGAAAAAGCTGTAAGAACTTTAGAAATTAAGGGATGTAGCAAAAACAACGTAATTTATCCAAAAAGAACAGTTTAGTGCTCTGGAACATTAGAATGCTCCTTTAGCATTTGCGAAAGCTAAGCTTTTAGAAAAATACTTTTCTTCACTATTCACTTTGAACAAATACTTACTGAATCTTTATCCAAGTTAATTGAAATATCGTCGTTCACATGTGTGAATATTATTGATTGCATATACGTGTTTGTATGGCGGTAAATTAATTTGTAACCCATGGTATTTCAAAACGAGACGCTTGTGGTTTTCAAATTTTATTTACACGCGGGACAATAAATACAGGTTAACTAATTCATAGAATATTGGCATGACTTATTCGATGAGATCACCAATTTCACTTGATTGGTTATCTTACCATCTCGTCTGAGATCATACAATTTGGCTGTAGCTGATTTGAGCAAAATTAGTTATATATATACAATTGGGATCATTAACTGTCACAGCCAAACAGAAAACACAACACAGGAAAATCAAAGAATCTCGTCTTTGCGGACTTGAATTAAAAATGTTCGCCAGTCATTTTCCCATCTCTTCAACGCCACCTCTTTTGCATACAAGTCCATGCTGCTGTAGAGTATCGAATTGTATGCCAGTTGTTTTAGTAATCGGATATCGCTATGTCGACTCGACATTGCCATGAACGCCACGTACCAATCATAGCTCAGACCTTTGGCACCCCATAGACTTGGATCATCAGATGTGATAATCACCGGATAATTATTGGCTATAAGATGATTAGCTGGGTGGTTTCTAAGATCAGAGACCAGGCCCAATACCTGATTTGAAATGGGGCATATTTCCAGGCCGATGTTTTGTTCTTTGACTTTTTTCATGACCTCAGGATGCTTTAAAATGGCATACGCGTGCCCTATTCGAGTAGCGTTTAACAGAACCGCATCGATAAGATTTTCGTCTGTTTTGGCACCATTCGATAAGGTCTCACCAGCATGCAGGAACAATCTGGACTGTTTTGTCATTTTCAGAAGACTGGGGATGAAATCTTTTAATGGAGGACCTAAAATTGCAGATATGAGATGATATTTTCAAAGATCAGTCGAATTTATTTTAATATGGTGTGGCGCAAGAAGCACTGGTCCAATTTCTAAAACTTGTTAAATGTTAAAAAAGTTTAAATGAGCAAAATTTCCGTTTCTTGGCACAGTTCTTCAAATTTCAAGCATAAAATTATCATTCTTTTGGGTTGTTTGCCTTTTATAACAACGTCTAAAGATTGAAGTAAATATTTTTTGAAAACCAAAATATTCATGGATGGATGAACTTTTCATGGCGTGAAGTATAGACTTTAAACGATGAAAAATCTAGTTTGCTTAGTTTTTTCCAGTTTAGTCTAGTTCTAAATTAGAAACGATTAATTTTTGTAACAAGGGCCTGTATAAATTAAAATAATCCAATTTCCAATGAAGAACAACCTTTGATACATTTGCAAAATCAGGGAAAACTCCGGTTGTAACAGAATTTTAATTTATTCTATAATTCACAAAATCTCTACGTTTTATTTCATTTAATTTATTTGATCTATCGATATTATCATAGGAATACATATCTTCTCTAGTCAATAATAACTTTAAAAAAATGTTTACTATCAATTACAGAAGAATCCTTTCGATTTTCTCTCTGAACTGTCTTCTTTCCAAAAATTAGAAACCGTTTTATTTTCATTGTGATCAACTTAGACAGAAATACGCTGGATTTAAACTATTTGCTGGAAAACTAGACAGTTCAATCGTTGTAAAAATTGATTTTTCTAATTTTTTTCCTTAAAACATTCAGAAAATCAAATATGTTTCGAATTCATTCAAAGTTTTGTAAATGTTAGTTGCTTACTCCTTTTGGTATCAAATTGAAAATATTCTAAATTCTGGCTTTAACAATATGTTGCCCCTATTGCATATTTCAATAATAATAAATCATCGAATTTTCGTGAATATTTACTGTATTGTGGATAAAATTGCCTTTTCTAAATCTTAAATTTTCATTAATACAAGCGTGTTTTGCATGTTCTGCGTGACTTAAGCAAAAATTTACTCGTATATATTTTCTCTTGTGTGAATTTTGTGTCTGAAGTTTATTGCAAGGGAAAATTACTGAGCTCAATAATAAGCCTCCAAAAATCAGATTGCTTTTAAAAAGCAGAATTTAAAACTTCTGCTTCAACTTATAGCGAATTACTATTCTTTAGGTTTAGAACCTTCGACAAACCACAATGAAATAAACGAGTTTTGGTTAGCGTCAGGTGAAAAAAATCAATTGTCGACAAAGCAGTAAAACTCGGTTATTTTATTCTAGAGAGTACTTTAAAAGCATACTTAAATCAAATTTTCATGTCGTTTTAACATCAGTTTGGAAACTCCAAGTTGGAGCTGATAAAGAAGTTAAAATTATAAAATATATGTTCATCGAAGTCGGAATAACATTCACCGGTTTTCATGTGTGGGTATTGTTAATAAATGTTCATCTTTTTGAGTTTAGCTGTTTTCTATTAGTTTGTTTCAGTTTCGTTCCCTCAAAATATGCGACCACAATTTCTGGTTATTAACTGTGATGAGATTTAATAATAAAAAGTGGGAAATAATTAAAACCAGGGCGCAAAAACCGAATGGGCTGATGGGCTTTTTGTGTAAAAATAGAGATAGTGTTTTCTTATTATTATTAAAACCATTGAAAAAATAATAAGTCTTAACACGGGTAAAATGGTTTCAATAGACATCAAATTGAACTTCCAACTGTCTATTTTCCGGATCAATTAAAAACCAGTACGATTTCCAATAGGATTAAAAAAGTGAAGAATTTTAGACAATTTATACCAATTATTAAGTTTCGAATTTTTTTTAAATTGGCCTTAAAATTAACTAGAATTGATATGATTCGTATTTATTTTCAATAATTTGAAATTTAAATTTTGATTGTTTCTACAATTGTGAAAACCTGAAAATTCTATTTTCTGGTACCTTTTTGAGTTAGTTATCCCAGAGTGAATATAAGCGACAATTTTATACAAAGTGTACAATCTTCTTGTAGAGGAAATCGAAATAAAATTGGGAAAAAATTTTATAAGTTTACTAAACCAGACTTTGAATGTTTCATCGCTTGAATTAATTTATTCAGTGTTACGTCGATTGCAAACAACTTAACTAAATCACTAAGCGTTGAAATAGTTGTTACTAAGAAGGCATTAAAACAGACCATTGAAAATACTCAATAGTTTTGAAGATTAATAACAAATTAATGATTGTAATTTTCATAACATCTTTAATAATAAAATAATGATGTGCGACAAATGAACTTGGCGACTATTAAATAATTCAATTTGGAGGATTTGACCAAAATCTTATTGGAAGAAAATATATTAGAGATCGGTTTTAAATGGTCTTCTGAGAAAACTTTTGGAATTAAATTCTTGACCACCTTCTATATCAATTTGTATTTTTGAAAAGTACAGGCAATAAGGAATTTAATTTATGTGGTATTCAGAAAGAAGTGCTTTCGAGTTGGTTACCAAATTTTTTCTTCATGAGTTTTTTCTTACTTAGAGTGTAACCGATTTTTTCCCTCATGAACCGAAAATCAGGCTACACAAATACTTCAAAAAATAAATATATTTTTCGAAATATAGGGAAGTCTGATTCCCAATATATTTCAATTTGAAAGCTCTCAAGCATTTCAGCCAAGACTAACAGTCCTATTTTATCTATGAATCGGGGTTTTCAATAACCAGAAGAAGTTGCTAGGCAGATTACTCTTTAGACTATTTATATTTAGATATTTCTCAAGACCACATAGAACCGTTCCCTATATGTTCCACTTTTTAAAATAATAATAATAAAATAATGCAATACTATTACAAATTCAGTTCCAAGTGAAATTCCTTACCTGGGTCTTCTTGGCCTACTAAATCAAAACCGGCAATAAAATTCGGAAACTCCTCATCTAGTCGAGATAAAACGTGCGCGTAATGTTCCACAACTGAGTTATTTGTAAACCGACTAGGAGCAAAAATTAATTTGGCACCCCAAAAATCTGGATAATCATCCATGAATTCCTTAGTAGTTTCCACGTAAACTCTGACGGTTTCTTCCTGATCATACACTGTTCCATATAGATCATAAAGCAGAGGTAATGTGCTTCGAAACTCTATATACTTTATGTTATCCTCGTATTGCTCTCTGAGAGCCTGAAAGCAATAAAGATATTATATTGTATGTAAAAAGCACACGTGTTCCGTCTATGATAGGTCATTTGCTTTATCCATAAAATGTTTTTTTTTCTGGGGCAATAAACCATTTTTTTGGTTTTGATTGATATAATTTGTTACCTGGTAGAAATAATCCTTAAAAACCGGCTTGTAAGTTAACAAGGACTTCATTGTATCGAAGATATGCTGGAACTCTTTCCAGATAGTGTTCACATCAGAATGAAGAAGCGCTGTGTTATTTCTCATCAAAGTCATCTGCTCTTTGAGTCTGTGGCCAAAAGTTCTGTCGATTTGCCTTAGATGGGCAATGGGGCTCCACGGGGCACCAGGATGTTGTTTGAAAAATTTAAGAGTTATTGCACCAGATTCACTCTCCATTGCATAAATATTTTCTCTGTAAATTCATTTGTAAATCGAATGAAAGGGAATGATAAACTATTTACTAAAGTACTTACCGAAATGTAATATTGTAATATATATAATCAGCCGACACTAATGCTGTTTCATGCGAATGTAGAGAAGCTCCTTTAGGAAACTTCTGTATAATGCGGAATACTTTTGATTTCTCAATGTGGGGCTTGGCGTTGAAAAAATGTTGACTGGCCCAAAATTCACTAGGGTTCTTCACACCCTTGTCAAATTCTTCGTTTCTCCATCTTTCTAAAATTTCGTTCACCACTCGTTCTTCATTGTTCAGAACAAGGTGCCCTCCTAGGCTATCATCCAGAGATTTCTTCAGTAGCTCACGTCTTTCGTTGAAGTAGATATTCAATTCATCCGGAGGTAATGGTAAGTGCAAAGCATAGCAACACCCCACAAAAACTAGATACGCAAACAGTCTCTGATACATGTTGAAAATAATTGCTGTTCACGTTCACCAAGATTAGCATTATAAGCATTTTTCTATTGGACGATTACTTACAATACCTAATTTAGGTTTTATGGTATTGAACTACATAACAGTTGGTTTGGTCTTGGTCAGAACCATTGGCGTAACAAGTTGGATTTTCAATGGGTTCATTGACCTTCATGCATTGATTAAACGAAAAAAAAAATTGAAACATTAAAAATATTTCTTTTCATATGGAGGCCATTGAAAAATTGCAAGGTTTGACAAAAATATAGTTTGGACAATCTTTGATATGGAACTAATTTACTACGAATGTGCAGATAGTATTTGTTCAAAAATGTTAGAAGGGCAACAAGGCTAACAGAAAAGGCCGGAAAAGTGAACATTATGCGGATGAGCAGTTCAGAATTCCAGTGCGAAGTGGGAATTTGAAGCTCATTTCCTCTCTTAGAGATACACTGTTTTAATTTGAACTAGCAATCATGCAAAATTTCAAGTTTACACAAACATGTGAACTGCAAACAAAATTTCGAAACTATTTATTTTTTGGAGTGTTTCTTAAACAATTTCCTTATTATCTGGGGTACTCTAGAATTTTCTATGTGCTTGACATTTAATGCTTATGTAACAATTAACCGAGATCGATTAGTACACAATTGTAAAACATTTAAACGTCCATTTAGAAATTGCATTGTTTATAAAATTTATTTTATAAGAAGCAGTGGCGTTACTATACTAATTAGCAACACATCTTTGTTTCCGTATAGATTCAAACGGGGTCAAGAATATTTTTATTTCAACAAATATTTCTGATGCTACTACACTCACAGACGTATTGAATTAATTTGAGAAATTGAGTTGATTTCCAAAGTTCATAGTTTTGAAATACGTTGAAATTGGGTTTAGTCAAAAGAAACGTATTGCGTGGTTTTGACATCCGTTTTTGGGTCAAATTAAATATTAAATAAATATTCATTAAAAATGAATTACAGAAATATGAACTGTTTTTTTTAAATTCAATCAAATATCAAAATCAAATAGAACTGGGTCAGCTATTTTAACTGCGTAGTTTTCGGTTATTCATTTTTGTATCCTCAAAACTAAAAAGTCAATGTAAAAATTAATGATGATTTTTTTGCCACTGTGGTACGAATTGTTGATAGAGGTTTCCCGATAAATATATGCACACATTTTTAAGGTAGGTATATAGGGCAGTAATATCCCCTATTAAAAAAACATTTTTTGAGAGAGAATAACACTGAAAAAGCTTCTTTTAGCTATTTTTAGTTGCTTTGTATAAACAGTTCGAAAATTGTAAAAAAAATCAAGTTTTATATTTTAGATAATAAATTAACCAATTACTTCCTAAGGATGCCCCTAAAATTACTGCATTAATTATAATTAATACAGAAATGGCCTAGTTTGGGAAAAATTCGCATTTTCCCGTATTTAGTAAAATACGAATTTTCTTACAAATTTAACGCCTTATATATTGATAAMTTATTGTTATCATTGAAATTTTTGTCTTGTAACCATATACAAGTTGACATGCAAACCTAATGAAAATTGCATAATCAGACTAAAAAAAAATGATCGCACTCAACAAAACTTATTACTGTTTTAACTATACATTTTTTGGTGGTCAAATGACTTGCTGATTTTGTTCTTAGACCTCGGCATTTTAAATAAATGAAAACTGTATTTTTGCTTTCTTTGTTATGCCATTTTTTATAATTACAAATATTTGTTTCAAGTTCAATTTTATTCAGTTATTAATTAGATTGGAAATCATATTAATACATTTTTTGTAGCCCTACAATGTTTGTCTGTTTATTTAGGTTGTTTGCATGTAACAATATTTCGATCATTGCTGATTTAAGTATCTTTTTGTTTTAATTTCTACTTTCCTTTTTGATCACTTTCGCGATTGAAATTTTCCCATATTTAAAATAAAGCGATTCATTGGCTTTTTCGATTCAACTAACAAGCCTAGTAAGGCTTGTTAGTTGAATAATTATATTTTTGACATTTTATTGTTCCTTCATTCTGCGTTTTAAATGTCTGAATGTTCGTTCTTTTAATCGACACTTCTTGCTGTGGAATAAACTAGAAAGTACGTTAATCTTTAACTTTTTCTCATTTTGTGTTTCAAGTTTTGCGAAAAACTTTGTTGAATTAAGTGAATTTGCAATTGTTTGCTAAGATACCCTGTCGGCAGGTTCGGTTTATATTTTTTTCCTAGAGACTCGATTGTAGAATTGCTTACATATACAGAGTGCAGTAGAGAAAATATATGTTTTCTGAATGGGCAATATATTGTAAAGAAGTTTGGAAAACGCGAAGCTCCAACAATACACATGATTTTATGGAAACATTGCAAAAATGTTGTTTAGTCTAAAAAATTGGGCACATTTCATGGCTCTACTCGGTAATGCCTAACTGCTAACTAAATCTAACTATGAGCGAAATATTAGAAGAAGCGGTTTTACCATTTACCTTTAATTTAAAATTTTTCCACCCCACAAGAAAACAAGAAAACGGAAAGCATTCACAAAACGACGTTTGGTATCAAAAAATGCGGTTTGCAAGGCTCTATTCTGCAATAGCAACTAAAGCTCAACCGGTTCTCCAATATGAGCCAAACTCTGCGAGGGAGCGGTTTTTGAAGACACGCTTTAATTTAGACCTTTTGCATATTGCGTGAAAACTTGGAACATTGATAAAGTCATATTTGATATTAAAAACTGCACATTTCAAGGGTTTATCTATGATTAACAACTGAAGTGTGTAACAGCTAAATCAGGCCAAATATGAGACAAAAACTAGGAGAAACTGTTTTTAGGGCTCACTCTAATTTAAATTTGTTGCATTTTGCGAGAAAATGGAAAATATGTTTAAAACGATGTTTTGTATCAAAAAGTAGATTTTTCAAGTTTCTAACGGTCAGTGAAAACTCTTCCTTTACAGCTCGATCCGTTCTCCACATATATGGCTCAGAGCAATTTTCAGGATCGGCGAAGATTTTTATATTTCACTGTTGGTGTGAACACGGAAAACATTGTTAAACCAATATTTGGTAGAAAAAATTGCGCATTTCAAGGCCCGATTTGGCAGTGAAAACGAAAGCTTTACAGCAGATTCGGAAGTCTACTAAGGAAGTTCTCTAAGTTAACCTCCGAACGGTCTTCAAAATCCGTTCAATTGTGAATTTTTCGATTTGCCGTGAAAACTGGAAATGTTGCTAAAATGATGTTTGTTATAAAAGTAAAAAAAAAGTAAAAACGTATCACAAGTTTATATTGGGTCGTCAAAATTACCAGCAGGAACTTTGCAGCTCATTCGTATCTCTAAATATGAATCAATAACTCAGAGCGGCTTTCAAAATCTCCGTAAATTTTGAATTTTCGCATTTACCGTTAAAACCGGAAACGTTACTATGATATTTTAACCAAAAAATGCGCATTTCAAGTCTATATTAGACAGCGGAAACGAAAGATTTACAGATTATTTGGTGCTCTAAGGATTCAGAACGGTTTTGAAAATTCAAAATCGTTAATAAAGTCTTGTTTGGTATGAGAAAACAGCTCATTTTTAAGTTTGGCTTAAAAAAATCAAATTTATTATTTTGTGCTGTGAATATTGAAATCGATTTTTCCAGGTGGTAACTGCCCACTAAGGAACATTTTTGCTGTTTTGTCAATGGCGCTCCTGCACGTTAATGTTTTTTTTTGAGCACTGTTTTCATATAATCAAAATCAATTTTGAATCCTTCAGTTTTTAAGAAACAAACTCCTAATTTCTCTGTGCAGCTCATCGTTTTCAACGAAAAATTGTTATTAATTATTTAGTGAACATTATAAAACCGCAATATCAATCTGGAACGTTCCTCATCAACCAAGAGAATTGTTCGAAATGTAGTGCAACCATCTAATAATATTTTATTTCTGTTTGTAGTTAAAACCAAATATTATAGAAATGGTAGTTACACTCCCCCAACCCAGCACCTATTACGTATTAATAATGAACATAACAGAAACTGTCGAAATAACAATCAGAATGGGATTACTCCCACTTTTTATAACAATCCGAGTTTGAGCCCTCTCAGGAAGACTGAGCAACTAAAATTTTTTAGTCTTAAATGTTACGCAAACGACACATTAGTGTTTTTAACACCCTAGAAGGCTTGCAAAAGTTGGTGAATAAAATTACTGAAATAAGTAGAATATACGGACTTGATATAAACACCAACAAAACTAAGCTAATATGATAAAAAATATAAATGATAATCAGCAAAGAAAATATCACCGGAACAAATATGTATGTGAACCAATTGAGAATTGAACGGGTCTCACAATACAAGTAGGACTTGGGAACTATAATCAATGAGTCGTGGGACAACAGCCAAGAGATTCGGTGCCGAATTGGAAAAGCTAAAAGTGCATTCCTAACTACGAGCTCTATATTCAAAAGCCACAACCTCACCCTAGAGACTAAATTAAGGCTCCTTAAATGCTATGTATATTCTGTAATTCTGTATAGTGTAGAAACATGGACTCATGGATCCTCAAGATACCATGGATGGACAAGGTCACCAATGAAGAAGTACTACTGAGGATGAATACAACCACAGATTTGGTCAACATCGTAAAATGCCCTAAGTACTTGGGGCATATAATGAGAAATCAAGGCAGATACGAGCTCTACAATGCATCTTGCAAGGAAAAGTCGAAGGAAAACGAACCCCAGGACGAAGAAGCATATCCTGACTTGCCAACCTGAGAGCTTGGTGCCCAAATACCTCAACGCAGCTATTTCGAATAGCAACAAACAAAATCATGATAGCCAAAATGATCGCCAACGTTCGGATCGGACAGGCACCCTAAGAAGAAGAGGAAGAAATGTGACTCAAACTCTCAGTAGATGTGGAGTAACGGATTACCATTATTTTCATGTTTGTGCACTTGAAAATCCTCAAGAAATTCGTCCACGGTCATTTTGAAATGAATTTACAATAAATTTTTGTTTGGGAGTTTTTGATATAACTGTTTGTGGCTCACATTTTCTACCCCGAAGTATAAATTCAGAACTATTCCTTAAATTTCTGACTAATAAACCGCCGGACTACATTGATGGTTTATCATTTAACATAAGACTACAAGTCCAGAATACAACTGGATGACGGTCCCAGAAATCAAAGAAATAATAATTTAGTCAATCGAATTGGGCCAGTGGACTGGCCACCGAGATTACCGGATCTTAATCCACTGGACTGTTTCGTTTGGGGACATGTAGAAGACAGGGTTTCGTTTACTTTCAAGTCCGTTGCGCCGCAAGGAAAACAGCACATAATTTCAGGAAGCAACTTCAAATACTATATCGAAATCAAGAACAACTTTAACAAATAAAAAACAACTGAGAACGGCTCTGCTCATGTGAATTCAATCAATACAAAAATACACCAGCCACGTGATCATTTACATGAAAAATTCACTGTCCACCATGCAAAGTAGCCAATAGTAAAAGACCAGACTGAATTACTAGTGTTATTAATAATAATGATAATGCTAATGAACAAAACTCCTCATTGTTAATCAATATAATATTTCCTCAACAACTTGGTAATCTTATCGAAATAATGGTCAATGATTTCATGATTACAATTGAATATGGATATATTTATTCCATGTGAAGTTCCGCAAATATTTCAGTGGCTCCGTCGGACTTGAATCGTGATTATCGTCATTACGGTCCGTGCATATCCTCCTATCAACCAAAGCTTATCGATTATTTGAGGTGGAAAAAGGAGTGGATCACACTTTTTGATAATGGGTGGAAGAGGCGGCCCTAGAGGCAGGGGGCGAGACATGGACGTTCAAGTTTCCTTATTAACGTAAGTTGATTAGAGCACACCAAATATAACCGGTTGGTATCAAATTGCACAATTTTTCAAATTGCCAGAAATCAACTCAAATTAAATTAATTACATGTATAACTGGCTGCGAGAGCTACAGATTGGCAATTTTAATTTAGTTAGTGAAAGTAACAAAACATTGCGCAAGGTTATTTCTAGCAAACAGCACATGATAATTTCCACACAGGACCGGCTGAGACTCAACCAAACGATTTACAAAGTTGGATGTAGAGAAAATAGTAAGCAGCATCAAGGCCCTGTTAGTATGTTTGAAGCTCCTTTCTAGATAGTGGGTTTAAATCGTTATGTTGCACATAACGATTCTATTCACATGAACTGAAAATTTCGACTTTATTTCGGACATTTCTCGATTTTTTGACTCATGAGCATGATCTTGATGATGGCTTCAATGCTCCAAATTCACCTTGTAGTACATTAATAAGCTTCGAACACTACGCGAAGACCTTGATCTCAAAATGTTGACTCTAAAAATCCATCGTTAATATGAAGAATTCGAAAAAAATTTGCAATCCAAATTGCGACTATAATCTCAAAACTGTGACAAAATTTCAAAAACAAATTTGGCCTAGAAATTTTGATTCGCAATTCTAATTTAAGTTACTTCATTTGTGAACCAAATTATAGAGACACCCAACTGTAATGTTCCTTTTCAGACCTGAAACACGAAATAGCAAGTTCAAGTGTATTACGAATTTTTGAAAACGTCGCTTGGGCTTTGATTGCACAATTGCGACTTGAAACCCAAAATGCTGACTCTTATATCTCAGTTTTTACTTAAAAAACCAAACTATTAATCTTTAAACGTAGATATATTTCTGGGTACAACTCGAGATTTGCACTCCAAGATTGAAACAGCAACTTTAAACTCGAAACTGTGACAATATTTAAAAAGAAACTGACCTAAAAATGTTGACTTGCATTTCCAATTTAGTTGCATTTTAAGAATGGAAAGCCATATTCCGATTTGCGGTTCAATTGAAACTTTGATTCAACTTGAAATTAAATTTTTAGACTTCTAACGTAAAACTTCGATGTTCATTTGGGAAGAAATTTTCTAAAAGAAGACTAAAGAAGAGTCGTTTAGAAGTCCGACTGTATTTAACTTTATAGACCTCAAACAGGAAATTTCAAGTTTAAATACATTATTAATTTTTCAAAACGACGCTGGAGCTTGATCGAAGCTTTGATCGCAAAATTTCGACTTTAAACCCAAAATGCTGATTTTTATCTACATGTTTTAACTTTAAAACCGACACTGCGACATTAGTCTTTAAACGTAGGCACACATTTTTGAGTTTAACTCGATATTTACCCTCCAATATTGAAACTGTAACTTTACGCTCGAAACTGTGACAATATTGCAAAAAAAAAATTTTGAGCTATAAACGTTGACTCATAATTCTAACTTTAGTTCCAGTTTTAGAATGGAGTCATATTCTGATTTGGGGTTCAAATTTTTCACTTGAAATTAAATTTTCATACCTCCAACATAAAACTTCGATTCTCATTTCGGAGGAAATTTAGAGAGAGGAACTTTTCAAACTTCAAACAAGTTCAAATGCCTTACAAAACTTTAAAAACAGCGATCGGGATTTGATTTCGCATTTTCATCAAATTTTGATTTTAAACCCAAAATGCTGACTTTTATATCCAAGTTTTAACTAGCTACAGAAACTGCGACACAGATTTCTGAGTTTAACTCGATATTTGCACTCCAATTTCTAATTTTAGTTGCATTTTTAGTTTGGAAAGTCGCACTCGGATTTAGGGTTCAAATTTTCTACTTGAAATGAAAATTTCAGACTTCTAACGTAAAATTTCGACTTTCATTTGGGAAGAAATGTAGAGTTTAAAATATAAACTTTTCCGAAGTTAACTGGATATTTGCACTCCATTGAATCAGCTACTTCAATCTCGAAAATTTGAAAATCTTCCAAAATGTAACTTTGAGTCAGATATTTTAGCTCAAAATTCTCAAATCAACTTTTTTTGACACGAAATTTTAACTTCGATATTGAATTTGCAACTTGAAATGAATTTTTAGACTTCTAACACGAAACTCCGACTAATTGATTGATCTGATATGAAAATTATAATTAATATAATATTA